TTGGAATGATGTAAAAACGAGCGTTCTTGCTCATTTTGCTTCCGAGAAACATGCAAAACGGGACGGAAAACATGAAATTTTGCAATAATCTTACGGCACCCTTGTACAAAACGATGATCATTTTTCTAATTTCATAAACAACAGAAGACTGTATTTTTTCTACATAACCCCCCCTGACTTTAAAGCTGGATCCGGCCCTGCAGAGGAGCTTGTAGGGTGTTTTGGTCCACTGATGTAAAATGGAGTTCTTGTTCTAATCTACTTAGCAGTAAAAAAATGGAGATTCTGATCTTGGGTTAAATGCAGTCTAGGAATTAAAAATTTTTAATCAAGATGGTTTGAAGAGCTGCATTTTCCGAAAGATTTACTAATTTTTTGAAGCGCGATAGTAATATTTTAAACGCTAATATTTACCCCTACAGAGACTGGCAATGGTTTTCTTTCTTGATAAACGTTCCGTTTGCAAGCAAGTTTCTCGCTCCACTCACAAACACGCCATACTCACGTGAAAAAGACGTAAAAATGTACGTCAAAGTGGCCAATTTCGTCACCGCAGATTGACGTGATTATCACGCCAAAATGTCACAGTGAAATGACGAGCAACGGCCTACTATGCCTTACAATGTGTCCACAACAAGTGGATAGGAATGCGATTTTTATGGTAATGTTCAAGGATAGGGGAATGTTTCAATGCTTTTTCAATTTAACTCATTAGATGGTCTTATCATCTTTTCGCGCCAAAAACGTTTTACTGAAAAGCATGTAAATGCTCAAATTATAATAAGTGCATTAGTTGCTAACGCTAAACAAATAATAGTTTGGCATAATCTTGCACTTAAGTGTCTGATATTCAAATTTCGCTTTAGGTTCAAAACTACTCGAATTTCCGCACTCACGTTGTTACGACTGAATCGACTTTTCAATTCTCTATTCAACGATGCCAAAACGAATTCTGTGGCTCGGCTGGTTCTTGAGAAACTTTGAATAAAGGCCATTTAGTTATCTCTGGAATGATGTAAAAACGAGCGTTTTTGCTCATTTTGCTTCCGAGAAACATGCGAAACGGGATGGAAAACATGAAATTTTGCAAT